CGCTGTTGTGAGTTGAAATCCATCGAATGTCTTGGAAGAGTTTGGAATCATTTCCGAGGTTTGTACGATGAGTTCCCCAACCTGATCCATGTGAACACGCACTTTCACTTGGGTGGTGAACACCAAAGCGTGGATGAGGGGGGCTATTCCCTCAACTATACCGAAGCCGGGCTTGCAGGGGATTTCGTTCCGAATGACATCCGCCCAGGATATATCAGGATATTTTTGCGCTCCAGTGAACTATGAACCAGACAATGTCAGCTGGACCTTGGATGATTACAACTGGACATCTTGCAAAAATGTGAAGATGGGCTACACCTATGAGTTTCACTGGGTCCATTCCACGGCCGGGCCCATTGATGGGGTTTTGTCGGGCGGCTTGGGTGGTGTCTTCAATCGATCCATAAATCCAACGGCCTTTGTGCGAGGACAGATCTGTCGCATCGTGAACTGGCCAGCTCAAGAATACAAGATGTTCAACACGACCTGGCGTGAACCAGTCAGAGACTCAGTGGTGTACATTGGCTCCACCACCGGTACGTCCTACGACAACTACAAATGTTCTCCAGCCGAAGTGACATGGCACGTGGATCGAGAGTGCTGCATTCTGTCGGCGCAGAACATGGACCGTATGTGCGCAGACTTGTTGGAGTATGGCCGAAACATGGGGGGTGATGTGCAACCCGCACCATCTCGTCTTCTTGTTGCACCCTTTATCTCGGACACCAACGCCTCGTTCATTGCCAACTACACCTCGACATGAGTGGGGAGACAGTTTTGGTGGAAGTAACTCCAGCTGGCTGGATGATTGTGGTTTGAAGTTAGTGAGAGTTGCTGCGCCAATTGAAGGTTGAGCATAACTGAAAAGTCGGCCACAAGTTTTAGCATGTTTTACTACTGCCAGCCAGCAGGGGTGATTCCCAAAGCCTGTGGGGGCCCTTTGAGAAGACCTGGGTCAACAAAGTACCTGCTAAACAAAGAAAGTTAAATGGCGTACCGATGCATACTGTATTTGCTTAGACTTGCAGAGACTAACGTAACTTGATTCTCTTAGTGTTGTTGTTGGCTCTTCACAGTTCCCTTTGATGTCAGTGGGTACATCCGTCTGGTGGGGCTTTTTGGCGAAGTTTCCGAAGACACCCACGCAGACACAATGACTATAAACCAGGTTGGCCCAGGCCAAACTTTGGTCGGGCCTTGTCACAAGAGATGAGGTCTGCGGATTAGTTTGACGTTTTGAGGCTAGCCATCTTGGCCAGTTCTCAATTCAAATAGGAAAATTCAATCAGGATGGCCATTTCTGTTTGTGGCTCATAGCTCATGAAGCTCGGAATATACCGTCAAAGCAGCCCGGAAGTACCGGAGCATCCTCCTGTTTCTTCTCCGTCACTTTGCTTCACTCGCGTAGCTTCTTTGTATAATTTTGGACTTTGCTCAAGGAGTGTTGAAGGTGTATGCATCTAAAAGAAGCGTGTTGTACATCAAGAAATAGCAAGTATAGAATATATAAAATGCATTTAAATACATTTACATGCAATCAAATGGATCAAAGACCAATTCCGCGTTTTCCAAACTTGGGTCCATTTCCTCTTCTTTTCAACAACGAGGCAATCTGACTTTTGTCACAACTCATCCTTTGCCTCACAGACTGATCCTCCAGATGTAATTCAGAATGGCAGAATGGAGTTGTTGGTTGACTTGAGGGTGCTTCGATGGCCGGCTGTTGCACCTTTGACGAAGGCACTGGTTTCCCGCTTCTCTGGGAACATAATGTGCCCCCAGTGGATTCCTTTCGACACTGGATCGGTTGCATGCAAGCAGAAAAAGATGCAAGACAAATAACTCAGCTGAAGGTACACGTTATATCGTCACAAACTTAAACAGGGCCTTTTGATCGGATTGTGCATGCTGTGTAGGGCGAAATAAGTTGCAATTCCAATCAATTCTATCTAGATAATGTCATTACGAGGCTACTCAAAACCAAACAAACACCTAAAAATATCCAAAAAAAGCTGTCAGCTTGTGAAAAGCAGCGGCTTCTGAGGGTCGGTAGCAGTGTGAACTGCATTGTGTTGAGACTGCTGTGACCGCAGCTTTGAATGACGCCATTTTGCTTCTTGCGAGATGCATTGCGTCAGCTAGTGGCTCAGCAGCTCAGCAGGTCGGCCCTTTCGGGTTGTCAGATTCTCGGAGACTCGGCATATCTCGGCATCACGTCATGGCGAGGGTTACGGTTCTCGTGGTTCTCATGATGCAGGCGCTTGCAGAGCAGAGCTGTCAAGAGGAGTCCCAGGAGGAAAGCTCCACTCTGATGCAGCTCAATCACCGAGACTTGGATCAACGATCACTTAAGACATCTTGAGACTCAGGAGGTCTTCCCGCTTGGCTATATTTAGGAGATCTTAGGAGATCTGAAGAGATCTGAGACTCTGAGACGTTTTCTCTAGCTCTAGATGTACAGTGTGGGAGCCAGGGTCCCTTTTAGGCTAGTCTATCAAGAACGGAGTTTGTTCTAGCAGTTTTTGTCTTGTCCATTTTCCTTCATTTATATTTTTGTGGTCACTGCTTCTGTAGTTGATTTCTAGTTCTATTATTCCACTGTCCCTGTTCATGTTCAAATTCCAAATGTTGAGTTACTATGTTCATGATTTTAAACCACACGTTTTTTTCCTTTGTGTGCCTGTACTGGGAAAGGCTATAGTGCAATTAAATTGTATGCCAACTTTGTTTTTCATGGATTATTTACTGATATTTTGTTTTGGCAGTTTAGAACACTTTGTATTTCTCATTTTTCTATTGTTGGCATTATTTCTTGGAACATGTTATATCGTTGAATCATAAATTCCAGCGTTCGTTCGGCAACTTTACTTTGCAACATACAGTTTTTGTGAATTCACTCGTGTTTCATCTACTCAACTTTCTTTTCGTTGGAATGCTTCTGGACATATATAATGCTAAACGATACTCTAAAATACAATATATATTATATATAATATAATCGAAGGAAGTTTAGAAGTTAAACTTCCGACAATATGGACAGATGAAAAGCAGAGCAGGGAAGAGGCAGAGAGAAGAGAAAGATCAGAAGAAAGAAGATGCAGATGCGCGAAAAGGTAGGAAAGTCGCGATTCACTGTGTTTTTCCAATGATTTGTGGCTCCGGAGGGTCGAAAAGTAGGCTCGCTAAAGCGGCGGGTGCGGAGCCAGCTGGCCAGATGAGACATGAAAAAGTGCACGCCGTTGTGGCGCGAAGCACATTTTGAAGTCAAAATGTACAAAACACACCAATGTCGGACCACTTTTGGAAGTTGCGATGTCGAAAAAGTGCACGCCGTTGTGGCGCGAAGCACATTTTGAAGTCAAAATGTACAAAACACACCAGGTTCGGACCACTTTTGGAAGTTGAGATGTCGAAAAAGTGTACGCCGTTGTGGCGCGAAGCACATTTTGAAGTCAAAATGTACAAAACACACCAGGTTCGGACCACTTTTGGAAGTTGAGATGTCGAAAAAGCGTACGCCGTTGTGGCGCGAAGCACATTTTGAAGTCAAAATGTACAAAACACCAAATGTTCGAGCCACTTTTGGAGGTTCGGATGTTGAAAAAGTGCACGCCGTTGTGGCGCGAAGCACATTTCGAAGTCAAAATGTACAAAACACACCATTTTCGGACCACTTTTGGACGTTGAGATGTCGAAAAAGTGCACGCCGTTGTGGCGCGAAGCACATTTCGAAGTCAAAATGTACAAAACACACCAGTGTCGGACCACTTTTGGAAGTTGTGATGTCGAAAAAGTGCACGCCGTTGTGGCGCGAAGCACATTTCCAAGTCAAAATGTACAAAACACTACATGTTCGCGCCACTTTTGGAAGTTCAGATGTCGAAAAAGTGCACGCCGTTGTGGCGCGAAGCACATTTCGAAGTCAAAATGTACAAAACACCACATGTTCGCGCCACTTTTGGAGGTTCGGATGTTGAAAAAGTGCACGCCGTTGTGGCGCGAAGCACATCTCGAAGTCAAAATGCACAAAATTCAGCAGCGTCGGACCACTTTTGGAAGTTGAGATGTCGAAAAAGTGCACGCCGTTGTGGTGTCAAAATATGCAAACCACTAGGGGTTCGGACCACTTTTGGAGGTTCAGATGTCGCTTCGCTTCAAGACACAACACTACAGAACATTACGCTACACTACACTCCAGTACACTACATTACACTACATTACACTCCAGTACGCTCCACTACACTAAATTACACCACACTACATTACACTGAATGACACTGCAACACAGATAGACAGGTAGACAGCTAGACAGATAGACAGATGAAAGGGCGAGATAGATAGACAGGTAGGTAGATAGATAGATAGATAGGTAATTAGTAATTAGATGAAAGAGAGAGAGAGAGAGGCCAGCTGGGTAGATGAGATAGAAACATAGATAGATAGAGATATAGATAGATAGATCGATAGATAGATAGATAGATCGATAGATAGATAGATCGATAGATAGATAGATAGGTAGACAGATAGATAGATACATAGATAGATGGACAGACAGACATATAGATAAATAGATAGATGGACAGACAGGCAGATAGATAAATAGTCAGAGAGATAGCTAGAGAAATAGATGGCGAGATAGACAGATAGATACATAGACACATAGACAGATAGTTAGATACCAAGACAAATAGAGAAATAGATGGGTAGAGACATAGACAGATAGATAGACAGATAGACAGATAGACAGGTAGACAGATAGAGAGAGAGAGAGATATATATATATATAGAGAGAGAGAATTTGATCGATAGATAGACAGAGAGACAAATAGATAGAGAGACACATGCCAGCGTGTATGTCTTTTCTGACTGCACGATGATGCACTCGAGCATTTGTACTTCATTGCAAGCCCGGCCTCGTGTCTGTCTTTTCTGATGGCACGATGATGCCTGCTAGCACAGCGGCAGCCCAAGATTCTTGTCCGTTGCTGCTTGGAAAAAAACACACTGCGGCGACACCGTGAGGGAGACACGTCAGAGGGATGTGCTAGATTTCTTCATGTGTTTGTAGTCTGTTGTGTTAACACTGTAGGAGCTGTTGAAGTTTCAATTTCGGAATTTGAGGATCGTATCAGTAAACGGTAGATGGATGGATGGATGGATAGATAGATAGATAGACAGGTAGACAGATAGACAGATAGACAGATCGATAGATAGATAGATAGATAGATAGATAGATAGATAGATAGATAGATAGATACATCGATAGATAGATACTTGGAGAGATAGATAGACAGGTAGGTAGATAGATAGGCAGATAGATAGATAGATAGATAGATAGATCGATAGATAGATCGATAGATAGATAGATCGATAGATAGACAGATAGATAGATACATAGATAGATAGATAGATAGATAGATAAATAGATAGATAGATAGGTAGGTAATTAGATGAAAGAGAGAGAGAGGGAGAGATAGATAGATAGATAGATAGATCGATAGATAGATAGATACATAGAAAATAGATAGGTAGGTAGGTAGATAGTCAGAGAAAGAGAGAGAAAGAGTGAGAGAGATCAAGCCCCTTTCAATCCATCAGTGGCTTCGCTCTGCCATCCCTGATTCACAACAACCAACCTCTCCTATAGGTTTCCTATTTTTGAAACTTCCGCCACCGCCTTGTGCGGTACTACTGGTATACACTATGTATATTATACTTACTTACTCTTAAGTGGATGTTTCCCCATCTATTCACAATTTCCTTGTGTCAGATTTTAAGCCTTGAAACTTGGTTGCCAAGGAGAGATGACGGGTGATGAGCTCAATGAGTTGAACGAGGGTCTTCCATGGTGGGTCAAGAAGAAGATCATTGACTCACGTCGACAGAGTCACCCACCAGCTCCTCCTCCCCCCCCGGCACCTCCACGCTATCCTTGCTCCACCTCAGAGCCGCAGTCGCCACGCAACGTGAGTAAAGATTTCGTGGGATTGTTGCCTCCGAAAGTGCAGCCCGTCGGTTCTTGGATGAAAGGCAACATTTTGTTTTGTCAAGAGCTCGTAATGTGATTAAACACATGGGAAGAACACCCAGTACCTAGATTTCAGTTCAACTGTTGTTCAACGCTGTTGTGAGTTGAAATCCATCGAATGTCTTGGAAGAGTTTGGAATCATTTCCGAGGTTTGTACGATGAGTTCCCCAATCTGATCCACGTGAACACGCACTTTCACTTGGGTGGTGAACACCAAAACGTGGATGAGGGGGGCTATTCCCTCAACTATACCGATGCCGGGCTTGCAGGGAATATCGTTCCGAATGACATCCGCCCAGGATATTTTTGCGCTCCAGTGAGCCAGGAACCAGAAATGGGTGACAACTGGACCTTGGCTGATTACAACTGGACATCTTGCAAAAATGTGAAGATGGGCTACACCTATGAGTTTCACTGGGTCCATTCCACGGCCGGGCCCATTGATGGGGTTTTGTCGGGCGGCTTGGGTGGTGTCTTCAATCGATCCATAAATCCAACGGCCTTTGTGCGAGGACAGATCTGTCGCATCGTGAACTGGCCAGAACAAGAATACAAGATGTTCAACACGACCTGGCGTGAACCAGTCAGAGACTCAGTGGTGTACATTGGCTCCACCACCGGTACGTCCTACGACAACTACAAATGTTCTCCAGCCGAAGTGACATGGCACGTGGATCGAGAGTGCTGCATTCTGTCGGCGCAGAACATGGACCGTATGTGCGCAGACTTGTTGGAGTATGGCCGGAACATGGAGGGTGATGTGCAACCCGCACCATCTCGTCTTCTTGTTGCACCCTTTATCTCGGACACCAACGCCTCGTTCATTGCCAACTACACCTCGACATGAGTGGGGAGACAGTTTTGGTGGAAGTAACTCCAGCTGGCTGGATGATTGTGGTTTGAAGTTAGTGAGAGTTGCTGCGCCAATTGAAGGTTGAGCATAACTGAAAAGTCGGCCACAAGTTTTAGCATGTTTTACTACTGCCAGCCAGCAGGGGTGATTCCCAAAGCCTGTGGGGGCCCTTTGAGAAGACCTGGGTCAACAAAGTACCTGCTAAACAAAGAAAGTTAAATGGCGTACCGATGCATACTGTATTTGCTTAGACTTGCAGAGACTAACGCAACTTGATTCTCTTAGTGTTGTTGTTGGCTCTTCACAGTTCCCTTTGATGTCAGTGGGTACATCCGTCTGGTGGGGCTTTTTGGCGAAGTTTCCGAAGACACCCACGCAGACACAATGACTATAAACCAGGTTGGCCCAGGCCAAACTTTGGTCGGGCCTTGTCACAAGAGATGAGGTCTGCGGATTAGTTTGACGTTTTGAGGCTAGCCATCTTGGCCAGTTCTCAATTCAAATAGGAAAATTCAATCAGGATGGCCATTTCTGTTTGTGGCTCATAGCTCATGAAGCTCGGAATATACCGTCAAAGCAGCCCGGAAGTACCGGAGCATCCTCCTGTTTCTTCTCCGTCACTTTGCTTCACTCGCGTAGCTTCTTTGTATAATTTTGGACTTTGCTCAAGGAGTGTTGAAGGTGTATGCATCTAAAAGAAGCGTGTTGTACATCAAGAAATAGCAAGTATAGAATATATAAAATGCATTTAAATACATTTACATGCAATCAAATGGATCAAAGACCAATTCCGCGTTTTCCAAACTTGGGTCCATTTCCTCTTCTTTTCAACAACGAGGCAATCTGACTTTTGTCACAACTCATCCTTTGCCTCACAGACTGATCCTCCAGATGTAATTCAGAATGGCAGAATGGAGTTGTTGGTTGACTTGAGGGTGCTTCGATGGCCGGCTGTTGCACCTTTGACGAAGGCACTGGTTTCCCGCTTCTCTGGGAACATAATGTGCCCCCAGTGGATTCCTTTCGACACTGGATCGGTTGCATGCAAGCAGAAAAAGATGCAAGACAAATAACTCAGCTGGAGGTACACGTTATATCGTCACAAACTTAAACAGGGCCTTTTGATCGGATTGTGCATGCTGTGTAGGGCGAAATAAGTTGCAATTCCAATCAATTCTATCTAGATAATGTCATTACGAGGCTACTCAAAACCAAACAAACACCTAAAAATATCCAAAAAAAGCTGTCAGCTTGTGAAAAGCAGCGGCTTCTGAGGGTCGGTAGCAGTGTGAACTGCATTGTGTTGAGACTGCTGTGACCGCAGCTTTGAATGACGCCATTTTGCTTCTTGCGAGATGCATTGCGTCAGCTAGTGGCTCAGCAGCTCAGCAGGTCGGCCCTTTCGGGTTGTCAGATTCTCGGAGACTCGGCATATCTCGGCATCACGTCATGGCGAGGGTTACGGTTCTCGTGGTTCTCATGATGCAGGCGCTTGCAGAGCAGAGCTGTCAAGAGGAGTCCCAGGAGGAAAGCTCCACTCTGATGCAGCTCAATCACCGAGACTTGGATCAACGATCACTTAAGACATCTTGAGACTCAGGAGGTCTTCCCGCTTGGCTATATTTAGGAGATCTTAGGAGATCTGAAGAGATCTGAGACTCTGAGACGTTTTCTCTAGCTCTAGATGTACAGTGTGGGAGCCAGGGTCCCTTTTAGGCTAGTCTATCAAGAACGGAGTTTGTTCTAGCAGTTTTTGTCTTGTCCATTTTCCTTCATTTATATTTTTGTGGTCACTGCTTCTGTAGTTGATTTCTAGTTCTATTATTCCACTGTCCCTGTTCATGTTCAAATTCCAAATGTTGAGTTACTATGTTCATGATTTTAAACCACACGTTTTTTCCTTTGTGTGCCTGTACTGGGAAAGGCTATAGTGCAATTAAATTGTATGCCAACTTTGTTTTTCATGGATTATTTACTGATATTTTGTTTTGGCAGTTTAGAACACTTTGTATTTCTCATTTTTCTATTGTTGGCATTATTTCTTGGAACATGTTATATCGTTGAATCATAAATTCCAGCGTTCGTTCGGCAACTTTACTTTGCAACATACAGTTTTTGTGAATTCACTCGTGTTTCATCTACTCAACTTTCTTTTCGTTGGAATGCTTCTGGACATATATAATGCTAAACGATACTCTAAAATACAATATATATTATATATAGATCCCCCTTACCATTTCCACTACTAAAAGGGTGAACACGTGCTTGGTACCATCCTCTGATTCGTGGATAATTCAAGCAAAAAAAATGGACCCGTGCACCAGTTTTTGTAGTAAAAGGGTGTGCACTGTATCTTGTAGCGGCGTTCCATTTTACACTCATAAATCGGAAACGCATTTTGTAGTGATTTATTTTGGGATGCGTTGTGTCGTACCGGAAACCCTATAGCCCTCTTTTACCAGTCATGCTCGGTCACATGAACATATAGCTTGGACCCTCAGACCATTTTTGGCTCTTGACTCACGATTATTTCGTGGTAAGATGAGCCCCCAAAAAATCGAAAAAAAACAAATAATGTAGAGACTTTAAGACGGAAAAATGGGACAGACTTGGTTTCAAAACCCATCAATTGAATTTGAAGTTGTGCGCTCAGATCAATTTTGCTGCCCCATAGCTTTGACGATTGCAGTTCAAAACCTCTGCGCCGTGCTTTTGCCACATC